GGGTTCGTAGCGCAGCGCGCTAACCACTGCACCACCGCCACCCACAGAACACACACGCACGCACACAGGGACACGGATGTACGCGTGTAAATATGACAGTGTGTGTGTGTGTGTACGTGTGCGGTTGTCTCTAGAGAAAGCCAGGAATAGAGAAAAGGGCCTTGGTGGAGACAGGGCCATACATAATGTGGCACAATTTACATTTGGGGACGTACAAACATTAGCGCGCTGGGTCAAATGTGCTGTCGCATGGATGAATCTGAAAATCCGCCTACATAACATGCCAACGCTTTTCATTTTCGTTCTTTCCCTCCCCTCCGCGTTCAGGTTAAATGATGCACCGGTCTGCACTTTAAAATGACAATACGTTCAAATTACCGATAGCATTTAAGTTAAAGGTTGCATGTATTTGCGTGTGTGAGTGTGTGTGTGTGTCCGTGCTTGTGCATCAGTGTGTGCAAAGCAAAACAATGAAATAGCGCTTTGTCCACTCATGTGCAAGAGCCAGCCACTGTGTGTGTGTGCGTGCGCGCAAGTTTCTCGACCCAGCATAGCTAAAGGCTGTATGTATGTAGCCATGTTATTTACGCCAATTCCGTCTGCGAACATTTAGGGGTTTTTTTTTGTTGTAACGGAGGAAACCAGTGAAGCCGTAGAAAGAAAAAAAACTAATTTGCCCAAACATCCCAATGTAGCGGGACCCAATGGCTCGCAGAGAAACGCGTCGAATCGAGGAAGAGCGATCCATGTGCGACTCAGAGTTCTCGAAGTGCATCGGTGGGGGTCGACGGTGTGAAGTCGCCAACGACTGCGCAACGAAAACCCGTCATCGTAACACAGCGAGCCACTACGATGGGCCGTCGTCATGTGTGGCGAGGTCGCATCTTAAAACGGAGCTAATAGCTCAGTGGGCTTTGCCTGGTAAATACACGTTTCGTTTTAATGATGGAGCAATGCTGACAAATAACACGATGATGATGATGATGTTGTCGCCCGTGTGGCATCTGTGTCTCATATGCAGGACCAGCGTTACGGGGGGAGCAACAAGGTGGACCTCGTATCACCAAATCTCCCTTTGAGTTTGACTTCACGCGAATGGTTCCACGGGATGGCTCCCCGCTTAGCCGCTTTTCCCCGGGCTAATTTTCCAAGGCAGATTCGTGGTGCTGCGTGAGCACAGCGACAACGAAATCAAATAAAACAAATCCGTAAAAAAACCTTCAACGTCGCAGAGAAACGAACACAACAGCAGCAGCAGGGGTCCCCCCTCAAGGAATATCGCACAACAAGCAAACGAGGCATTTAACTGGTCGTAAACGGCACGCGCGCGGATCGAAAGTCGGTACAAGCACAAGCGTGAGAGCGAGAGGCGCTCCAAAAAACAAGTTAGGTGCAGGTCTCAAGTAAGCTCCGTAATTGGATCTAAAAGGGACGTAAAGATACGCGTGAACTAAAAGGATAGCTTAGACACATGAGACACCAGACAAAAGTTCGGTACGGGTGTGCAAGTAAGATTTGTCTGTTGGTCTCATAGGGGCATCAAGTAAGTGGGTTGGGGAGTGGCTCACCCAAATTCACTCTCGTGAGCAGTGTCACCGTTACAGACTCCCCACACACACAACAGCAGTAGCAGCAGCAGCAGTAGCAGCAGCAGTAGCAGCAGTAGCAGCAGTAGCCGCAGCAGCAGTAGCAGCAGTAGCAGCAGCAGCAGTAGCAGCAGCAGCAGTATCAGCAGCAGTAGCAGCAGCAGTAGTAGTACCAGCAATAGCAGCAGCAGTAGCAGCAGCAGTAGTAGCAGCAGTAGTAGCAGCAGTAGCAGCAGCAGCAGTAGCAGCAGCAGCAGTATTAGCCGCAGAAGTAGCAGCAATAGCAGCAGTAGCAGCAGCAGTAGCAGGAGTAGTAGCAGCAATAGCAATAGCAGCAGCAGCAGTAGCAGCAGTAGCAGCAGCAGAAGTAAGCAGCAGCAGTAGTAGCAGCAGTAGCAGCAATAGCAGCAGTAGCAGCAGCAATAACAGCAGCAGCAGTAGTAGCAGCAGTAGCAGCAGTAGTAGCAGCAATAGCAGCAGCAGTAGCAGCAGCAGTAGCAGCAGCAGCAGCAGTAGTAGCAGCAGTAGTAGCAGCAGTAGCAGCAGCAGTAGTAGTAGCAGCAGCAGTAGTAGCAGCAGCAGTAGCAGCAGCAGCAGTAGCAGCAGCAGTAGCAGCAGCAGTAGTAGCATCAGCAGTAGTAACAGCAGTAGCAGCAGCAGTAGCAGCAGCTCTACCAACCCCTTCCCCCATCCGAGCTGCCGGGTCGCCAGGCCTGGTCGTGACAAACGGGCCGGAAATCTTCCTTCGCTGTTTTACATCGGCGGAGAAGCCGCAGCGGCTCAACATCCTCTCCAAGGGGTTCGGCGAGCTCGCCGATAATTCCCTGGCATTATCAGAAAAGGAAGAAAAAAAAAACAATGACAAGAGGGGGCAATGGTTGAGAGAAAAACCCGGGCAGGGATGGATGGGGGGGGGGGGGTCGATGGGTGGCTGGGTGGGTCGTCGGATAACTGCAACAACAAAAAAAACAACACCAACCCCACTTCATCGCACAAATGCTGATTTATTCTCTCGCTTAGCGGCTCAACGACGCAAAAGGGGGCGAGCGAGATTGGTCGAGGACGGTGATTTGTGGTAACTTTACGCAGAGCTTCCCCCCCGTTCGCAGTTCGGAGTCACGGAGGCTATCGAAGTCGTAGCGAAAGGCGCTCCTCGCGAGGGGCATGATTGACGTGCAGTGGTGGTGGTGCTGACCCTATTGGAGAGGGGAGAGCGAGGAGGGAGGGGGGGGAGGCCGAAGCAGAAATAATATATAGGGCCCATCCTTTTTAATTCATAATATCCGAGTGAGATGGCAGGATGCGTCGGCGGGCAAATGTGACATGATGTGGCGGCATCTATCATTGGAGATTTAAATAAAAAAAAACACCCACCAAAATCAATCAGTCAATCAATTATGCAATGAGTCATTCATTCTTTTTTTCCTTCTTCAAACCCGTGGGGGTGAAGTCAAGGGCGACTTGAGTCAAGTCGGGTCAACGTGTCTCCATGCCAGCGATGGTGTTAGCCGATTGGAGAGGGCCTTAAGCAGAAATTATACTGGTAGGAACCTCCTGGTTACACCAGCCCACAGGCGATTATTGTGTCCGTCCGTCCGTCGTGCATGGAGGGGCTGGGTGGGGAGGGAGGGGCTGGGTGGGGGATGGGAGGGGTGGGGCTGGTTGGGGAGGGGCTGGTCACCCCGTGGTGCCCTTATAAAACTCAACGTTTAACCTACTCACGTCGGCTTGTGCCCACCCTCACAGTCAGGCATATTTGTGGAATACACCACGCCGCCGTTGACCCTGACCATTGACCGAGCAACCCAACGTTCCTACCAGCTCCCTCCGCAGGAATGTGTTATTTTGGTCTCCCCCCCCACCCCCCTTTCGATTTATAAAACCCAAGTGAGATGACGTAAGAGATATTGACATGAGATAGACGTCATGGGATAAGAGCAGTGCTGACAAAATTAGAGATGTGGTGAGATGAGGAGAGATGCAAAAAGGATAGACATGAGATTAATTGGCTTGTTTTATTAGCCTCTTAAGTTTGGGGTACCACCTCGCCTGGTACACAGGACATCATGGTTTAGATCCCAACCCTGACGCCTGCTGTATATTTAGAGTTTGTGTGTCTCTCTCCCCGTGGTCGCGTGGATTTTTCTCCGGGTCCTCCGGGTTTTCCCTTCGCATTCAGTCGACATGTATTCGGAGTATTTGGCTGATGTAAATTCCCACACGATGACAAGCCACTTCGTTGGGCTATCAATTGTGGCCAGATCGCTTCTGAAAAAAGAGCTACATAGCTCAGTGGGTCTTATCTGGTAAAATAAAAATTGCTAGTTGATGAAGATTTGAATTCCAATCGATTATTGATTGATGACCCTTATTAATCGTGAATCCGGGGGGCCCTTTAGCCTTTTGGGGTCCTACGCTTTTGCTTGGGCTTCGCATTTTGCCGAGTGACAATGACGACGCATCCATTACCATCAGCTCGCGGAGAGCGTTTAATCTCAACGCCACTCTTGAGATTATACAGGATACAGATTTTTTTTTGTACACACAGCAGAACAAAAGAAGACGATAACAAGGTTTAAATTTAATTAACATTGTTACAAACGTTACAGAAATGTTTCTATTCGCAAGGCCAAAGTCTCATCTTTACAATACGCAAAATTCTGAGCAAGGTTGCACGAACCACTGTACCACCGGTCCCTTATAGAGTACGTAGATCTCCCCGTCCTCCCATAGATACACAGTACAACAAAGATAAAGACGCCCCCCAATCCCCAATAACCTTAACAGAATGTTGGGGAAAGTGCTGTTAGCGAGCGCTGACAAAGGCCGGCACGACGCACGAGGGCACGGTGTGGATAGCACCACGCCCAGCCACCTTTGTCTCACCAGTTATGATGCGTACACAATGCAACAGGTACTCATTTGAGGCTGAGTAGACCTAGGGGGGAGGCTCAGGACTGATTTACTCACCACTGATGTTGGCAGTAAGCTGAACATCGAGCTAGGCTAGCCAGGTTTGTTGTGCAGTGTGATAACCACTACACGCAACTGCTCCCCACAAAACACACACGTTTACAAGTATGTAAAAGACAAACAGCTGCCAGATTAATGGGTAAAATCCCTACTCTAAACCACAGTACAATATTAATCAAGGAAAGGTAGTAATCAGAATACCTTTGTAAGTTCCACAACTCTATCGAATACATTTACATTTAATTTAGACTTAAAACTTTCGTAACTGCAGGAATTCATATTCTTGGTTCTTTCGGTAAAGTCACGTAGATAGAAAACAAAAATCAAAATGAAAAGCATAAAAGCCCACGACGTTTCGATCGCAACACAAGCGGTCTTCTTACTGCCAACATCAGAAGAAGAGCACTTGTGTTGCGATCGAAACGTCGTGGGTTTTTTGTTTTTAATTTTGATTTGTTTTCTAGCTACGTGACTTTACCGAAAGGACCAAGAATATACATTTACATTAACTCGGACATTATTCGGTAAAACAAAATCCGCGAACGAATTTGGCCACGATTTCGCCACAGAGCGTCACGGTTGTGATATATTAACTACCTCGCTTGGTACGCAGGAGGTCGTGGGTTCGATCCCAACCCTGAAGCCTGCTGCTGTATATTTGGAGTTTGCGTGTCTCTCTCTCTCTCATCATCACGGTGGCTAGGAGATGTTAACTACCTCGCTTGGTATGCAGGAGGTCGTGGGTTCGATCCCAACCCTGAAGCCTGCTGCTGTATATTTGGAGTTTGCATGTCTCTCTCATCATCATCACGGTGGCTAGGAGATGTTAACTACCTCGCCTGGTATGCAGGAGGTCGTGGGTTCGATCCCAACCCTGAAGCCTGCTGCTGTATATTTGGAGTTTGCGTGTCTCTCTCTCTCTCATCATCATCACGGTGGCTAGGAGATATTAACTACCTCGCCTTGGTATGCAGGAGGTCGTGGATTCGATCCCGACCCTGAGGCCTGCTGCTGTATATTTGGAGTTTGCGTGTCTCTCTCTCTCATCATCATCACGGTGGCTAGGAGATGTTAACTACCTCGCTTGGTATGCAGGAGGTCGTGGGTTCGATCCCAACCCTGAAGCCTGCTGCTGTATATTTGGAGTTTGCATGTCTCTCTCTTTGTGGTCGTGTGGATTTTTCTCCGGATCCTCCGGTTTTTTTTCCCCTCCACATTTAGAAACCAGCCTTCAGAGTATCTGGCTGATATGAATATCCACGTGATAAGTCAATTCGTTGAGTTATAATTTACGGCAAGGTAGCTTTTGAAAAAGAGCTATAATGTTCAGTGGGCTTTTCCTGGTAATATGTAAATAGTTTAGTTTAGTTTATTTGCGAGAAACGTCACGGTGTCTTTGCGTCCGCAAGACAAGATGAAACGTCCCTTCGAAGAGATGGAGTGCTCAATTCACATTACTGTATGCATGTATGTTGAACTTCTTTCGCACCGTACGTAGCCAACTGTGCTAATCGGAGGTACCCATAGAAGGACAACAAACCAAACACAAAAAGCAGTTCTAAAGAAATTAGTTTTCAATCTAGATGATTCAAGTTCAAGTTCATTTATTAGGTATAGCATAGCTCCCATTGGCTTCCTGATATCGGAAGGAAGAGCGTTCCAGACGGCCGCAGAAGCGCATCTGAAAGCGCGCACGATGCGGTGAGGGTCTTTGTTCGATGGTTAGCCAAAATCCGCCGCTGCTGCGAGGATGACCGGAGTTTGCGTGACGGTTTCCTTTGGCCAATGCACGTGTCTCATTGGCGAACGTTGCCTTTAAACCGATTTTTCTTTTTGCCGACGACTCCATCACCTACGATCGTGATTAATGGGGCAAATTTGCAAAGGTGATGCTTTGCTCGCTTAGTCGAGACGTGAATGTTGCTCCCAAATGCTATCATGTGGAGTGGGTGAGTTTTTTTGGATGCTGGGGGAAAAAAAACTCAGGCGTGGAATATATCAAACCAATGCATATGACCTGGAGCAAGCAAGACCTTGGATTCAGGAATTGAGTGAAGGGACTTCAAAGTAAACTGGGGCATGGACTTCAGAAACTGGATGGTCTAGAAGATTCTAGATTTGAAGCTTTCGTGACTGCAAGGATTCATATTCTATGGTCTAGAAGAGCCAAAAAATATGGACGTGCATTGTCAAAGCATAGACTGGAACTGCGGCGTGGATTGGCAGAGCCTTGGTCTCACACGTGGCCACCACGGCCAGGTTCTGTGCAGCACTACAGCAACACAAGAGTTCGGCCAAAGCCAGCAATGCCCTAGGTGAAGAAACGTTTCCCCGAATTGGCCCAGCCAATGTATTTGAGCTCCGTTATTTCAAGTATCCTGGAGACGGAGTGTTTCCCAACGAACCAATGCCAAGGCATTAAACCGTCACTTTTGGAGACCTGGATTCAGAGCCCTGGAACTAACGCAGGGCTCGGCAGCCTGCGGCTCCGGTGCCGCATGCGGCTCTTCGCAGACTGCTTAGTGACGTGACGTATATGTGTGTATGTGTGTAAAGATGGGGAGCGGTAGTGTAGCGGTTAGCGCGCTGCACTAAGAACCTGGCTAACCGGCTTCGATTCCCGCTCACGGCCAACACCGGTGACGATTATTTGAACCGATACTGGGCCTCCCCTAGGTCGACTCAGCCTCAAATGAGTACCCGGTGCGGTGTGTAAACATCACCACTGGGGAGACAAAGGTGGTCAGTCGTGGTGCTGGCCCACCCACCCCCTCGTGTGCCGTGCCGGCCTTCATAGGTGCTCGCTAACAGCACTTGCCCCAACGGTCTGTTGAAGCTGTTGTAAAGATGGCGGCTTTGTGTAAAGATGGCGGTTGATATGGCAGTTGAGGAGGTGGAGCTGCTGAGCGACCGCGTGATTCAGATTGTGTGCGAGCGTGTGCGTAATTGAGTTTGAAAGAGAGTATGTGTGTGAAGTTAGGTGCTCTATGTATCTCGGTGTTTATTCGTGTGCGGTAATATCGCGTTTCTCGACCGTTTATTGTTTGATGCCTTATTTTGAACGTTTTTCTCAGCGGTTTGTCTTGGTGCGATTTTATTTTATTTCCGACAGCGTGCGTGTACACTATCCTGTATTATTTGTATGTGTATTAAGTGTCTGTATTTTGTTTTTGTCCACGTGTTATTAGTGTCTGTGTATTAGTGTCTGTGTATTATTAGTGTGTGTGTGTATTATCTGTGTCCTCGTGTCTGTGTATCAGTGTGCCGGGAAAGGTCCTGGCAAGGATTATTCAACATCGCCTTGCCAGGCACATGTGTATGTGTGTATGTGCTAGGCACGCTGATGAGAGGCTTGCGGAGTCCCAATGTGCTTTCAGGAAAAGGCGGTCCTGCACAGATGTCATATTTTCACTCCGTCTGCTACAGCAGAGGTCTAGGGAATTCCAACAAGCCCTACATCTCTGCTTTATTGACCTGGTCAAGGCCTATGATACCATCCACAGGCCAGGGCAGTCGGCAGTTCTTTCTGCTTTCGGAGTCTCTGACTCTCTGCTCACAATCATTAAGGACCTTCATGATGGTGGGCAGGCCCGGGTAATACTACGTGGCTGGGAGTCGGAGCCATTTCCTGATCACCTAGGGGTGCGACAGGGATATCCTCTGGCTCCCACATTATTTAACATCATCTTTTCCCACGTAGTTCGAGAAACTTTCCATGGTTATACCGGAGGAATTTCCATCTGGTACAGATACAACGGGAGGCTGATCGATGCCGGAGTGCAGTCGAAGGATACCTCCCTATTGGTCAACCATGTTACGTATGCTGATAAACTGGTGATTGCTGCTCACTCAGAAGAGGAGTTGGAAGCACTGCTGCTAAACCTGGAGTGTCCCACTAAGAGGTGGGATCTTAGCATCAGCCCCACCAAAACTAAGCACCTGCCTGGATATTTTGTGCCACCAAACACTCCACCCCCTCAGCTCCCCATTGGTGGTGGAGAGAGTGGAGAGTTTCCCATGTCTGGGCAGTGTGCTCATGACCGGCTCCGGTTTGACATGGCACCTGGGTCTGTTCGGAGACGTCCTGTCAGCGAGCCTTCGACACTTCACGTGGCCTCAAAGTGCACCTAGCACAGGCGCCATGGTGACATCACCGTCATTTAGTAGCGAATGGCGGGTATTGATATTGCTATATTAATGTATTTAGTGTATGTGTATATGTGTGTATGTGTGTATATATTCACGTGCATTGTGGCTCTTGAGATAGTGTTTTGTAACGAATTCGTGAGAAAAAAATGTCTCTTCTTGTTATTTTGTTTGCCGTCCCCATGGTACTAACGCTATGTTTCAACAACCATTTGCAAGCATGCTCAGCCTCATAAAAAATGGCCCGGGAAGGGTCCAGGAACAACAGCACAACTCTGATCTCTGGCCCCGTGTTTCACGGACCGTGCTGCTGTGTGTAATCGGCTCCTGCCACCTGTCTCCCCGGTCCCTCCTTTTCGCTATCCAGCGGAGAGCGATTCACTCCCGCCCGGTGATTCAGCTGTTACGAATGAAATGTATTTTCATAGTCGACAGTGGCTTGGCGTAATGGCATTTGATACCCATTCATCTCCACTAGAATTCGATGCACAATTCGAGTGTGATTAATAGTAGAAAAAGCTTTCCTAAATCCATCTTGCGCACACGATTGGTTGGTTTCTAACTATCCGTTATAAATGCAACATTGAGCATACAGTTTGCCTGTGATGTGCAAAAATAACCTGCATCTATTCACACACTCACAACTCCATAATGCATGCATTCTGAGCTTTGAGAATTTATATTATTCAACGAGTTGATGCATCGGTACATGTCTGCACCCTCCTTGCCCTGCATGGCTGGTTTGGAGGAAACGTGAGATTTTTTTTAAACCTAGATTTGTGTTCGTTTTGGCTTCTCCAAGCAAACATATATTGCTTCTGTAATTTGCCCCCCCTCCCACCCTCGTTTTTAAAAACAAAAACACAGCCGTGGGTCGAGTTCACACAGGAGACGCCACGCGAACGTGGCATCTCTCACGCCGTGACGTTATGAAAAGCTATGAGGGGCGGCCCGAGTTGGCGCTGCGGTGATGCGATGTTAACCACCTCGCCTGGTATGCAGGAGGTCGTGGGTTCGATCCCGGCCTTGACACCTGCTGTATGTTTGGAGTTTGCGTCTCTCTCTCTCTCCTCGTGGTCGCGTAGTTTTTTCTCCGTATCCTCCGGTTTTTCCCTCCACATTTAGAAACGACATGAGTTTAGAGTATTTGGCTGCTACGAATTTCCACGTGATGATAAGTCACTTCATTGAGCTATCATTTGTGGCCAGGTCACTTCTAAAAACGAGCTGTATAGCTCAGTGGTCCCGTATACCTGGCAAGGTAGTTAACATTTTTCCACCGTGGTACCGTGAGGGCCCTGCACTGACTCGGCTCGGATGCGCCAGTGGACAAAGTATATCTGTGGCGCGTCATCTGCGGTGGGGACAAGTGGCACAGCTATCGAGTGTACAGGTGGTGTAACTGCAGCTGGACTGGCGGGCCTAAGCACCGGCCTCCAAACAGAGGGGGGGGAGGGGAGGGGGGAAATGGACAGGAAGTGGGGGGGCCTATTGCAGTCCTTGCATCGGCGCTCATGTAAACAACGCTTGGCTACTATGTGGGAATCCTTGGCTGAGCCTACTCGCTCAGTCCACAAACCGGACTGGCTTGATTCCCAAAGGTTTGTGGAATATAATATAAGCACTGCCTGTGTGAGTGCACTGTGCCAGACAGAATCTGCGAGGTTATTCGTCGAAGCCCTGGGTCACCACCGGATCCAGATGCGACCCGACTCGCACCTCAGCAGAAGTCGCAAACAGGTTTTGATTCCTTACCCGTACTCGTACCCGGCTGCACCAGGGTCGCAAATGGGTACCCGTACCCGGCCGGGTACGGGTACCCCCGTTCCCTACCCGTACCCGCACCCTACCCGAAATGAGTGACAAAACGGTTACTCACCAGTGACTCACGGCCTACCCGTACCCGGCCGCACCAGGGTTGCAAACAGCTACCCGTACCCGGCCGGATACGGGTAGCTGGGTATCGGGTAGGGTACGGGTATCGGGTACCCGGTTTGCGACCTCCGCACCTTAGTCAAGTCACCGACAGGTATGTAAAACACGATGTCTTATACACTGACATCATACCCTGCTCAGAACTAAAAAAAGTATTAGATGCACAACGCAATGCACGTTTGCCTCTGCGGGTAAAATAACAAGCTGGCATGCCAGTCTATTAAGGGAGCCTTTGTTTTGTCAGGGGATTTTACTACACAAAGACGTGTGGATGAGGAAGCACAAAAACGCACGCACTGATGCACAGGTGCACGCTAATGCGACCGTTGCCAACTGTCCTGGTTTGTCCAGGGTTGTAATTTTGTTGAAGTGGCTGTCCTGGGAAATCTGTCTTCCCGGAACATTAAAAGTAAAAAAAAATCGTTGCTAAAATTATAAAATTACAGCATTGGGAGATGATCAATACATACGTTGGGATAGTTCCAAAGGTATCTTGGCGGTGTCTGCAACGCGTTGGCAGTACCATTTTTTTAAAGGCCTAAACAATTAATAAACGTTGGCATTACATAATGCCAGTGGGCCTACGCGGTAATATAGCACCGTGTTAAAAAATGCACGCCGCTGGTGCGGCCCAGGTCACTCGAGCAAATGAATGAGACTATCCTGCTTGCTTGAGTGTTCACCTGGTTAAACAAAAACCTGAAAACTTTAACAAATTGTGATTTTTTTTTTCGATTGTAAGAGCCGTTTCATTTCCATTTTCTTTTTGGGGGGGGGGGTCACAACTTCCTTTAAGAGAAGCGATATGAAACCCTGAACCGGTCAAGACAGGAGCATCCGACTTCCAACAATGCCGTCGCGACACATGCAACCGCATACCTGTTAATCCCTTATCAGTGCCTACCTTATGACAGACCAATTCTGACTTTATTGGTCACCCCGTGCCCTTAGAAATCTCAACGTCAATCCTACAAAGTTCCATCACAAGGGAGAAACACAAATAGACACAAATTATGGGGTTTCGCCCGTATTGAAACGGCTGTACGCCGTATGAACCTGAAAACTTAATTTCCCTGTACACGAATACGGGTAAACCGTGTGGGTCGACAGGTATGCAACCGAACACTGGCACAAACAGTTCTTTCAAACTCGCTTGCCCGAAACGTCTGACTTCACCCTTGGGGTCACTCTCCTACTTCCCATCCTGCCCTCTGTGTAGAGTCGGCTGGGTCCACAGACTTGCGGCAGCAGTACTCCTCCACTGCTGGCGACCGTCACAAGATCCCATGTGTCGGCAATGTCTCCACGTCATTCCTCTCCATTCGAGATGTTAACTACCGTGCCTGGCATACAGGTCGTGTGTTTGATCCCCGACCCTGACGCCTGTATATTTGGGGTTTGCATGTGCTCCCCGTGGTCGCGTGGAATTGTATCCCAGTCCTCCAGTTTTTCCCTCCATATTTAGAAACGTGTGTTTAAAGTATTTCGCTGCGATACATTTCCACATAAGCCACCTTGTTGAGCTATCATTTGTGGCCAAGTCGCTTCTGAAGAAGAGCTATATCGCTCAGTGGGCCTTACATGGTAAAACAAAACATAGTTTCGTTTAAATTTCGATTTAAAGCTTTCGTGACTGCAGGAATTCATCTTCTTGGTTCTTTCGGTACGTGACTTTACTGAAAGAACCAAGAAGATAGTTTCGTTTAATTAATATTTTTCGGAATCACCCTATCTCTGTTAGCTTGCATTATTATGACCCACACCACGGTAACTTTCAAACACAGTTTCCTCCTACTCATCATCATCACCACCACCATCAGCCAGAGTAAATCCACTGCTGGATGAAGGCCTAACCCTAGGCTGCCGCCACCTCTCAAAATTCTGCGATGTAACAATCCGCCAGGCACCTGCGTATGAAACGGATTTTATTGCTCCCATCACCTCCCGTCCTCCTACTCTCACTCACGCGCAAATCCAGTGTGGAAGGAGTAGAACTACGATCTAGAGGGATTCTCTAGAATTTTTTAGAATCCATCCAAATCGTAGTAATCTACAATCGCTCTAGTTGAAGCCATCAATGGCCTGCAGTGGAATGAGAAAAAGGTGCAGGGTAGCACATTTCCGGCTAGAACATCAGCTCACGTGCAGGTGAAAGGCGGATTACTGCCTTGCAACGATAGTGAGAGATGGTGGCGGACGAGGGAGCCCTTTATCCAGCAGCGGATTGAGCACGACTACAACTCCCGTCCACCGGGGCAGCGGCACGGGCAAGCCACCCGTGGGGCCCAGCACCTTGACCTTACGGCAAACACAACCAGCGCCCAACTACCCGGCGCACTGGCCGATCTCCCCGTCCTCCGTCGTGAGCAGCTCCAGGATGCCGATCTCCTGCATCGTCCGGCGCGCCACCGCGTCCCACCCGCGGTTGGCCCGCGGGTTGACGGGCGACGGGTGCATGAGGAAGGCGACGCGGACTTCGGCGGGCCCCATCCCACCGGCTTCGAGGGCGTCACGGGCACGTCGTTCCGCGTAGCGGCCCAGGCCCACCACGACGCGCACGCCCAGCGCCCGCACGGCGAGGCAGAGAGCGGCGTCGCAGGCCTGCACTAGGGCGCGCCGCTGGGCCGCGGGGAGCTCGGGGGGTGTCACGTTCTTGCCGCTCTCGGCGAGGAAGGCGAGCGGGCAGTAGTTGTGCACGTAGCAGCGGCGGAAGAAGGCGTCTGGGGGGCCGCAGAGGCTGCGGAAGAAGCCCCAGAAGCGGGCGCCGCTCACCTCGCTCTTGGGGCACGCGAGGCCCAGGACGGGCCGCTTGGGGTGGACGTGCGGCGGCTGGCGCACCTCGCCCGTGATGCGCAGCCAGTCGCGGACCACCGACACCTCGCCGAACGGCACCTGCGGGGCGGGCGGGCGGGCGGGCGGGTGGGCGGGCGGGCGGGCGGGTGGGTTGGATGGATGGGATATGTGAGAGCACAACAAGTGAAACACCGCGTCACCGCTCAACCCAATAAATTGAGTATCGTGCAACAAGAATGATTCTCACGGGGCAAAGCGAGTGGGAAAGTGCTGGGCCCTGTGTGTACCAGAGGTCACTCTTGACCAGATCTGTGGTAGGTCTGCGATATCCGCTTTCATGGGCCATTTCCTAGCTGTAAGGCTCGCATTGCTCTGCAAGAGATCCGAATGATTCTTCATCTCACGAAATTATACTGGAGGAAACCACCCCCCTCCCCTGCCCCGCCAAGACCTAAAAAATATACGTACACAGAACGCATCGCTACCAACCGTACACCCGCTTCACCACCAACCACCACAGCCCTCACGCTACAACTCACGCACCACGACTCACGCACCACAACTCACGCACCACAACTCACGCACCCCGCCACCACGACTCACGCACCCCGGTCTGCGACATGCCGAAGGGCCCCGGGTTCATGCCGAGGAAGAGGACGTCCTTGGGACCGCGGCAGTACGCGGCCACGAATCGGCGGTGCGTCTCGGCCGCGTACTCCGTGGGGTTGTACACGTAGCGCACGGGGTCGCCAAAGCTCAGGCGGCTGAGCACGCCGTTGAGCGTCGCCTCCACCTCCAGGAAGCTGCAGGCGAAGGCCGTGGGCACCAGGCGCTCGGGGCTGAGTTCGCCACCGGTACTCGCCGCGTCACACGCCACCTCTTGCGCCGACGCCGCCGATGCCGCCTCCGGGGAAATTGCAACGTCCGCGGAGTTCCCATCATCGTCGTCGTCGTCGATCGTGCCGCAGGCTCGCTTGTTCCTCGGTTCCGGATGCTGCGGTTGTTGTTGTTGTTGTCGTCGCTTTGTGGGCAGCATCGTGGCTACCCTGGGCAGCACAGGAGAAGCATCGGCGTCCGATTGAATATCGTTCGACTACCATTCATCGTCAACGCTGTACAGCGCTCCCGTTATGCTGCTATAGTGCTCCACATGCCGAGAGCTGCTTCTCGAGCAGAAGTTGAGTTCCTTGAGTAGCTCCCAGCACTTTGAACGAACCGTCGGACGTCATGCCAAAACAACATGCGCAAAGTTGAAAGCGTGAATAAGTTTGCTCCGTCCGCCTGTCCGGTCTGTAACATTGTGCGATAACGCTTCAAGAGAGGTACCGATGTGAACAAAAGTTGCGTTGCCATTCGAGGCTTAGCCTTAGAGAAAACCGGTGGAATTGATCAACGGTTTGGCCAAAACTTTGAGACGGAATTTGCCTCTGTGTCTGTGCCCTGATGGCAGAGCAGCACCCCCCCCCACCAAGTTCCCAATGACGTCATTACATTGTACATCATCAAACACGTGTTCAGAGAGCATTACCGAATCAAACGCATTTGCACGATATTTCTTCGACGTGCTGTGTCGTGAGAAAGATGTTTGCTTTACCATTAATAACTCAAGTGGTATGTATGTTGAACTTTTTAAAAACAGCTATATAGCTCAGTGGGCCTTGCCTGTTAAAATAAAAAGTTGAGTTTTTTGCGTCCACAAGACATGCGGTGAAAGGTCCCTTTTGAAAGATAGAGTGCTCATTTCACATTACTGTATGCATGCATGTTGAACTTCTTTCGCATCGTACGTAGCCAACCGTGCTAATCGGAGGTACGGGGGAAGGACAACAAACTAAACATAAAAAAACATTTCCTAAGAAATTCTTTTTCAATCCACAGGCAAGTGGTACAAGGTTGATGTCGCCAAAATGTATCACACAAAGAAATCACCTTTTCCCAAATGAAAGGTTATGGGTAACGATTAATTGTAATCGCAAAGTGCTTTCCTACAAGGGCACGGCATGTTAATCGATTAGGACTGTACAGCACAGGGGTTCGGCAACCTGCGGCTCCGAACCGCTTCGTCGTGACGTTTATTTAAGGACCATCGCCATCTCGTATTCACATGCATTGCGGCTCTTGAAAGATTGAGCTTCTTACCGAATTTGGAAAACACGTTCCTTCGGAGTGGGCAAGTAGGAACTTGGTTGGACAGCGCGTCACGTGGTGCTGAGCCCGCCCCAAGCGCTCTATGAAATACAAATCGAGGGCGTGGCTGTGCACGACAGACAAATAATCCCTGGTGGGCAGTGTGGAACTGTTGTTCCTACCTGTAAAATGGCTCTTCTTGCTATTTTGGTTGCCACAACATTTACTCAACATTTTACTCGAATTGTAAATGTTGCGGGTTTACTCTCCAACACACCGGTGTGCATGAACTAGTAACGAATTGGCACGTTTCATTTACGTGACAAACCTTTACTAATTGTCTGTGTCGGATGGCGGCGGGTTTAACGACACATTTATATTTACACGATCTAACCCAATAAAAAAAAAACGTTATTGCTGTTCGCCAAGTCACTTGACAGTCGTGTAAAACACTTATTCCCACTCGTTGGGAGTTTGTGATGCGGGCCCCCGGCTCGTTTCCCGGGCCGGGCTGTGGAAACGCGGCATGATGGACTGGGCGATACGGGTGCTCGCTCGCGTTCGTGATGTATGTGCCTGAGCTCAGCAGTTTATGATGGGCCTTTTTATTCCCTAATAGCCCCACTTCTGTGCATCAAACGCACTGCGCCGTAACCTACTTTGAGGCTTAATAAAGCCCTCCGACACCCGTGCATTCATTGTCTACTCTCTCCGGCACGGCATTAGAAATATTGTCATGCCAAAGCGCAATTAGAACTGTGATGTATTGCTGCGCTCATAGTTCCGCAAATCCCTGACCACTAAAGTGAATGTCGCGATATTGGGTTTACCTAAAACATCAATACCGGGCTGTGTTTTGCATACAATTGCACGACTCTGTAGAATAACACAGGCGCGTGCGGGTGTGTGCGGGTGGGTTTATATATAGTGGAGAGCGGTGGCGCATTGGTTAGCGGATTGCGCTGCGAACCTCCCCCCGCAACTTGGGTTCCATTCCTAGCCATGGCTAAGAGCAGCGGTGTTATCGAAACTTGTCTTCAGTCTCTTCTAGGTCGAAGTAACATTTTAAACGAGTAACGCATGCGGTGTGTAAACATCCACACTGGAGACACAAAGGTGGCCAGGAGTGGTGCTGGTCACACCACAACTTTGTGGATAAAGCTGCCCCTAATAGGTGCTCATGAACAATGTGTATGCGATGGTGGGGACCTTTGTCTTAATGTAGGTTTATATTAGGCAAGTTATAATTAATATGCCAAGGCTTTGCTGGCTTGTATGTCAGTGATTTTTTGCCAGATTTAATTTGCTCTTACGGAACCCAATATTTGTTACTGTATTATAGCCTTGCATCCTCTGTCAATTTGGTGAATTTACCATGAAGAAATGCTCTTCAACTCATGTTCGATGTCGACCACAGTTAGATTTGCTATTGTGACTTGCAACTATGATTGAACAACCATGAATTCCTTTGTATAATTTATTTTACTATTCTTGTAAAAAATTTTACTATTCTTGTAATTTTTTTCTTCACGTAAATTTGTCGTATTTACAGAGTTTATGTATGAATGTGTAAATATTCTACTTATGTAACTGCCTCTGAATTTTGTCCCCTATCGCTGACCCCAGCTTGGGCTGGACCCCTGTGAGAAAAGAGCTTCATAGCTCATCAGGTTTATATTTTCCCACTTTAAAAAAAAATCAGTAAATTTCTATGGCTATATATAAATGTGATTAGAGTCTCTATGTGGTCATGAATAAACTGGAGTATTCCTGGTGAAATACCTTTCACAAAGGAAGAGATAACCCTTTAAAAAACAATTCACACAAACAGGTTGGCACCCTACTTGCTGTACTTACGAATACCCAATTGAGAAAACATTTTCCCAACCCTCCTATCCTCACGCCAAACTGGAAAAAAAAACATTTCCACCAGAGCCACGGAGTGAGAGTGGGAGAGATCGAGCGAGCGAGTGATACACACGAAATAGTGAAATTAATCATGGCGCAATTTGCATCCCCGCGCTATTAATAAAAATTACGGTGACATGAGAGAGTGGGATCTGTTGAGTGGCACCGCACTTGTCCGATTACTACAGCAGACATCACAAAGACAAATCATGCGCAGGAAACATGCATCTGTGCTTCATTGGCGATTACAAATTACGCACTATTACAACATTATTGTAAAATATTGATCTGTCAAGCAATCTCGCATAGGATGTATTATTCATTTGAAATGCTACTGAACGTAATTTCCTTTTTTTATTGCCTTACTTATTAATATTTCATTTCTGGCCACTCGGTAAATAACGGGCATCCAAGGCACGTGCTTAAATTGCATTAAACAAGGGCTTTGTCAAATGCTTCTGCAGCGATATCTTTGCTTAAAATCAAAACGGCAGTCAATCGTGATCAGTGCGCCTCAAACGGCTACGAGCAATGCAATTAAGGCCCCAAATTCGTTTCTGAATCCATGAGGAAATGTAATTTTTTTATTGAGTAATATAAAATAATAAACACTGACATATCACACAAACTGTGATCGAGACCGCCACGGGAATAGGTAAGGGTGGATCGAATTGTCGCAAATTCAGGGTCGCAATTCTATTTAAAAGATTCATCTTTAAAAAATTGTGAATGGTAGTGCCTCTAGTGGCTGTAGAGGTCAGAGTACCCAATAACATACAGTATATGTAAATTGAAAAACATTTAACCTTATTTTGAACAACTGAATACATATGTTGTGTAGTAGAACCACGCGGAAACGGAGTTTACTGTAAGGGCGATTGCCCTTTATTAACACTATCACGTTCAGCACTCAAGCTCACACCAGGGGCAGGTGCTCTCTATCCTTGATCCTTACCCTAGACCCCCCAAACTCTGTCGTCCTACCCTCGGCTATCCATGGGCTCTCTCACTCGGACCGGGGCGGGGGCTCATCCAACACCCCCCGGCAACGAGGAGAGAAGAACCCACGCTCTCTCAGCCAATCCTTACTGAATACTTGGAGCCCCGCTCTCGACTATCCCCTTGGCTCTCCGACTCGTCTGCCCCGGACGGGGGTTCAGCCAACACCGTCCGGCGACGAGCGGGAGAGACCTCCTGCAGCCGATCCTTGCCCCGGGCTCCCACAACGACCCACGCCTTCATCACGGGGTCCTCCTTAAGTACCCCTTGGGCGGCACCTCCCCCTAACTCGGACCCGCCTTTGTTCCCGAAGGTACCCCCTTACAGCACCCGTGACATGACGTCATCCTCCGCTGTCAACTCGCTCGCACCTCCCTCTGTACGCCCTCTCATGGTTGCTCACACTACTCCTCTACACATATAATAGTGTCATTCGTACCTAATAAACTATACCACATTGGACGGTCAACTCAGCCCAATGTCCTAACAGGGCTTATAAAATGAGTACCACTTTGTGGGGCATTGTTGTGTATATGCCCCCTTTTTATTTTTTTTTAATATTAATTTTTTTTAAGAATTATTCTGCCAACATAGATAATATCGTTTTTTTTAATAGACGCGGCCACGTGGGAACGAACACGCCCCCACACTTCCACAGAGGCCCCCACACTTCCACAGATGCGCGCATACCTCATTTCAAAGGAGAGAGGACATGAAAGGGGGGGCAATAAGGTAATAAAAACTCCCCTAAACTCACACAAGAGGAACAAGGGAGGGGGGGAATTGCAGGCGGGGGGGGGGGGGGGTCAGCAGGACATCGTTTTGTTAAAAAAAAAAACCACAGAACCAGGCACCATGGAGTAAGAGATAATTATATTCTGAACAAAGATAAGCCGGGATATCAGATTAAATAATCACAAGAAGTCAAATAATAAGTACGGAATTAAAGTAGAAGAGGAATCAAGGGCGGAGAAGGCTCTCAAAATTAACCAAACACAACACCCATGGGAAG